ATCATGCACACTCTGTAACATAACACATATCATGCTTTTGTATTTCAATCATCAGACAACAAATTTCCTCTTTTATCAGCCTTCTAGTATCCATGGGGATCCATAGGAGGTCCCCGCTAAACGTGAACCATTCACATTAATAACTTAATTCCAAGGCCGTCCCCATACCGGACGGGCGCCAAAACCATATATCTCAATACCCCGTCTGGTATGAGGGTGAAACGGGCCGTCCCCATACCCCGTCCGGTATGGGCACCAAAACATATAAAGTCTCCATACCCTGTCCGACATGAGAGACCACGTTCCTAGTAGGATTCTCTATGGACCCAGTCCGTCCACCATCTTCTAGGATATCTAGCAGGCTGTCGACATTATCCATTTATCAATTCACATACCTTTTTACCATTTTTCTTAATCTCAATTATCTAATCAAACATAAATACGTAAACCAGTAATTGACACCAAATAAGGCAACACAACATCGGGTTCACAATAATTCAAAGAATAATAAATGAAACTGTGATTCATGCATATGAAACTATAGAATAAACATATCAGGCACCATACTGCATTCAAAACTGTAAAATAAATCAAACAACACCTGACCGAAAATATATCAAATTCGGGCTCCATTAGCAGTCTTAATAAATTATACATATCTATTAATTCATAAAATACCGTTTTATCATTTATTAAGCTTTAATGTCGTGATAAGAAATAGGGTGAGGGATCTTTACTTGTTTTGAGTCTGAAATCGGGTTCTCACTGCGCCTACGGGCAGTCCTTAGATTCCCTAAATTTTTTTTCGGAAACTAAAACACACTTCCGGTACCTGCGCATGTCCCCAAAAAAATCCAAATCAGACCCAGGGCCTATTCGGCCAATTTTGAAACTCCGGCACGGTAACTCCGTCGTGCTTCAGCGACGGCACCGCCGCCCACGGCGGCGATCCACCTCAGGTTGGCCATTTTCGGCCGTTTTCGATCGAATTCGGCCAAACTTGCATTGGTTCCTGTGATAAAACACCCCTAGGGCCCTCGGTGGGCCAAAAAATTCTAAAAAACTAAGACTTACTGGTGGCGAAGCTCTCGGGTGCGACGGCTCCTCCGGCGCGAGTTGTGATTTGGTGTTTTACTCCGGTCAACCTGTAGAAAAAAGGACGGTGATCACAGTGGTATAAAAATTACATCGAACGGGAACCGGAAAGGGCCTCATCGGAGGTAAAAATCGAAGAAACTCGCAGTTGCGACACTGGACTTCGGCGGTGTTTTCCGGCCAATTGGCCGGTGGTTTGGCTCTGATTTGACCACAGGGAGGTTCAGCATCGAAAATTGAGCCAAAGAGAGAAATTTTACCTCGTTTGGCGGCCGAAAAATCCTCCAGTGCGGCAGCGGGTTCCTCCGGTGGCCGAGTCGTCTTCTCTGGCGAGGGTTCTGACAACTAGGGTTTGGGGTTGGGTGTGGATGCGATTATTTATAACCCTTCCCTTTTAATCTAAGCCGTCCATCATGATTTAATCTGGGCTATCCGATCGCGATTAAATTAAAAATAAATCTAGACCGTCCATCGCGATGCGATCTGAGCCGTCCGTGCGTGATCAAATCTTGGACCATCCGCACGCGTGAGATTTAGGCTGTCCGTGTGCGCTTTTGATCTGGGCCATCCATGCGTGCGGGAACGGATCTGGGCCATCCGATCGCGCGCACGCGGATCGCACTCATGTCTCCGTCCCGCGTGGCTTCCCGCGTCAGCGTCCCTGCTACGCGGCGTATCCTGGTTGGCCGGGGTTGCTGACGCGGCTGCTAACGTGGCGTTATTTTTCTAAATAGCGTTTTGACCTCCGATTTTCGATTTTCTTTTCAAAAAAACCCTTAGAATCTAAATTTTCACATATTTTTTTCAAAATTAATTTCAATTAAATCCAAAAAATAATTTTACTGCATTTTATTATTATTTTTATTTTTATTTCTATTAAATTAAATTAAATTAAATTAAAAACTTATAAATTAATTATTAGAATAAACTAAAATTAAATAAAATTTTAATAAAAATTAAAATTTTAAAAAAAAAATTTTGAGTGTTACAAAAAACATGCTAGGCTGGTGTCAAGATATTTTTTTCCTAAATAATTGAAATGGGTCAGATTTCAATTGAACTGCGAGTTGAAATTTTGTATTTAATCAGGGCCGCTCATTCTCTTCTTCTTACTCTCTCTCTTTTTGCTTCCCCAACCTTTTTTTTGGCCTTTTTTTCCCCCGATTTCTTCTTCATTTTCTTTTCTTTTTCATTTTGCCTCTTCATTTTCTTTTTGTGTTTCCTCTCCATTGCTTTATTTTGACACACACTAATCCACCTAGTCATTTCTCTCCCTACTATCCCCCTTCCCGGGGACACTCTCCTGTTCTCTCTTACTTTCGGTGACCGCCATTGTTGCTGCAACTCGGAGTCAATTTCCTACGAGGAGGAGAAAGAAATGGCGGCGCAAGATATTGGTGCTGACGGCGATGGAGGTGAATCGTCTTCTTCGCCGCTTTTGTCATCTACAGAGTATTATTTACTGAAACCTATTCAAGAACCAAATAAGCTTCACAATCAACTAGAAAACAAGAAGGAGAAATCCCTTGAATCGGTTACAACCGAAGAATCACACACGCCAGCGCCAGCGCCACCGCAACCGCCACCGCAACCGCTTGTTAATTCTCGCTACAATTGCGACAGAAATGTCCGAGCAGATGGTGGAGGTGGTGGCTGTGATGTCGGTTCTCGTTGCTTGTGTTCATATTTGATCAAGGGCTTGGATAAGGCAAAGAGCGAGGTGGTTTTGAAAATCAAGGAAGAGGAGCTGGAAGGAGAGGCCGTGGATTGTGATAATGTCACCATGATAATGATCAAAGGCAAGGGATTTGGATCTTATGCTGCTGTCATATTGACCTCTTGGTTATTCACCGGCTAAGGCAAAATATTCATTACAAAATTTCTTAAATAAAATATTAATTGATAATTTATCATGGTGTAAGTTAGTCATCCAGAAAATAATCATCTTACACTCTATGAACACCCTATATCTTTTGCCTCTTACCATTAGGAATCCTTTGATCTTATACTCTATAACCCACCGCTAATCTGGAAATGGAACTTAATGTCATGTTCACACATGATTGGGAGGACCGCATACCCCTTATTCACAAGGAGGGTGATTCTTATGTTGATTGTCTTACTATTTGGACACATGATTATCCTGTGGCGTATATTTCTTTAACCTATGCTCCCAAAAAGCTCAACCAATTAATATACCTAGACAAGTGCGATAGGACTTATCGATTCTAGGCCTTCTATTGTTTTATTTTTTTTTTCTCCATACAATACCGAGCAACATTGACTGTATTGCATATTGAACATGATGAATTTTAGAAAACCAAAGGCCCCGATATTGATTAGAACTTGATTTAAGTTAAACATAAAATTTAGTCTAAACACTTTTCAAAGACTTCTTCTTCTCTACTCTGCAGGTTGTTGCCAATTTTTTTTGTTTACTTTTTGGAAGTATGATATTTTTACTTTTGCTAAATAAAATCTAAGATTTCTAATTTTTGTTAAGAGCTTGTAATTTTGGTTAAAGTGCCCAATGTTTTAGTTGATCCATAGATGTTATTGTAGTATTAAGAGAGTCTGGAATTGCTAGATCTTTATATGTTAGGATGCGAAAATCTTTGTGAACATTGTTTTTAAATGCAACTCATTTCTCTTCACTAGTGGTTGCACTACCTCCAGCTATCTCTATGACAATCATGAATATCATGGATGCCATTCTCGCGTTCTTTTAAAATAAATTAAAATTTTGGATTCAATGAACTAATTGCAAGTTGATGATACACAATAAACATTCTCATCTTCTATTACCTTCAAGACAACTCTGGATTGTTAGATGAAGACATAAGCAATCAATGCATTGTTAAGAAGGATAAGAGTATATTTTGAAAGTCTTACAACATAAATAACAGAGGCAAAAAAGTTCATTTCATTGGATCGAACGAACTTATGCAAAACTTGCGCAAAGAAGCAAATTAGGTAAATAACAATTGTAGTTGGAACTGAATTTGAAAACACATCTGTAATGTTGAATTTTTAAAGATTCACTTTTAATAAGAATGATTACAATAGTGAATTAGGTTTCTATCATTTGATAAGAGGCATACTTGGTATTATTAAATGTTGAAAGACACAGCCCAAGGAGAAAGTAACTACACTTAGAAATTTGTACTCCATAGTTTGCAACTATTAGTAGATCTGTGATATTAAATCAACCAGTATTGTTGGGTCTTAAACTATTAACCATGAAAAAGAGTACAACTTAAAAAGCACTCAATTCACATGTTTAACTTAACAACTTAACAAGCACTCAATTCACATGTTTAACTTGACACACAATTACTGTTGAGCAAAGCGCAAAGAGAAAAAATTAATTGGTAATTAAGGCTAGGGGCGTGTTATGCACAGTTTTCTTGTAGTTAGCACTACCTCAAAGCATTTGTAATTCATGTCAAATATGTATCTGCCAAATATTATTTAGCAAGGAGACAACTTTATCTCTAGGAAGAATAACCAACGTTAGAGAACCTTAAATTTTCTACAAAAATTTCCAGTTGGGAAAACAACCATCTTTTTTACAAACTCTATCTTGAGTTTACTACACATTTACATAAAATGAGTCAAAAATTACAAAATCTATGTGAAAAGAAACCTTGAATTCCACAACACTAACCCAAGAAAGTGCAATGGAATCCATGTATGAAAAAATTATCAAGTCGTGAAATCCATGTGTGAAGTAAGTAACTTTATCTCATTTTTTGAATTTCTAAAGATACACAAAGTTAGAAGATTCAACTGAGATTAGGGACTACTAAGCAGCGTAATCAATAACATCTGGTATTATATGCATATCCTAAGCAATTTAACTAAACTCTTGTAATGCAATTTCTATCCGGAAGACCTCCAGTATGTACTGATACAGAACCCAAACCTTTTTACAATCTAGAAACCAGACAACAGTAATCAAACAAACATGGAATAGTAACTAAGGACCTGTAATTTTTTTATGGGGCCATGCATCATAATCTGGCTATTTGACCCAGGACAGATTACCATCATTCCAACCTCCAACAACTTCAGGGAAGCGCTACTCATCTTTTTGCTGAAAAAGAGGAAAAAGCAGCAGCAGCTAGCCCAATACGATCATTTATGTCAACGTGGTATCCAAATCCGTGCATGCGTAAATAGCAGAAACAAGAAGTTTCCAACAGGAACCTACAAGGTATACGGCCGAGATCAAGGCGTAATTCCAATACAGCCTATCTCCTCCACCAGTTCACCCACATATCCACCCGAATTCCGAGGCTTCTCTAACAAATCGTCTAACTCGACATAAAATTTAGAATCACTCACTGGTAGATCTTCAGCAACAACATTTTCCACAATTGAACTATCCAACATCAGGTTCTCTGATATGTCATGATAAGTGGAAGCCGTGTCTGAGATAGTGGCTCCAAACATCATGTTGCCTTCATGAGTCTGAGTATGAGTCCCTAATTGATCAGCCATGAACAGCTGCCTTTGGTTGCTGTTGTCTGTGTGCTCTGATAACAACCCAATTAGTTCCGACTGTGTCTTAGAATTTTGGTTTCTACAACTGATACTTATGCCAGCATCCATGACCTCAGGCAAGCTCTTGGTATCCTGGGTTTCAAGCAATCTGCACTTCTTCCTATATTCAGCCCTATCAAGCTCTCTCTGCTGCCGTCTCTTTTGGCTCAACCGCTGAACAAACTTGGGGTCCTTGGCAACCTTAACAAAGAAATTGAACATATGTTGCTGCCTACATTCTGCACAGTGCATGCGCTCTTGAACAGAGTTAAATTGATGTTTTGATTCCTCTTCTCGCTGCCTTAATTTCAGGATTTCAACTCTTAGTGTGTTTTGTTCTTCCTTAAGAGACTCTAATTCAGCTTCTAATCCAAGGGTTGCAGGACTGGGAATGTTCACTCCACCTTGTTGCTGCTTATTATATCTACTTCTTCTTTTTATATTTTTAAGCAAATGCTTCTTTCCTCCCTGGAACCCTTCATTTACGAACTCCCAACGATCTGAATCGATCTTTCTGAAACCCTGGAATAACACTCCACCATTAACACCAAAACCTCTTCCCTAACCAATACTGAAAGATGTAAAAATCACATCACACCATTAACATAAATCTCCGTACTTTAATCGGTTACTGTTCTTTAGGTTGCCCACTCACGTTAGTTATTGTCTTATACTAATTCTATTAGAAAATAAAATCGATTAAAGCATACCATTTAAATTAGATGTTATCTTACCATTATTCTAGTTCTAGAATGCAAACCTGTATTAAAGCAGATGCTAGCAACAGGATTTGTAGATCAAACATAAAATCTATTTCAGCAAAATCATAGGCAAAATCAATCTCTTCTTAAACCTTAGGACGATTCTTGATTCTAACAGGTGGCCTCAAGTTGAAAGAAGACAACGTAAAGAAATCAGTACTTTTTGGTAACTGAAATATGCTGAAGAAAACAACAGAGTTGTTTATTAAAATAATAAGTCAAAAAGACAGAAGAATATTTAATTCAATCAACCAAAACATTTAACCATAAAGGGAAATAGTAATAAAATAACAACATTTATCCACAAAAGAAAAAGACCCTGACTCACATAAGTGTTGAGCTGGCGAATGAAGCTAGAGAAGTTCTTGTGCTTGAAATATTTTGGCAGTAGATTCTCTGAGAAGCTGTGAGAGTCCCAGACGATGAAGCTATCCCGATTTACGCTCCATGAAACAATCGGGTCAGTTTCCGGATCCTCCACCATCTCAAACGTCTTCTTCAAGAACGGCGGGGGACCCAAGTCGTGTAACCCTTCTATCGGTTTGGGCAAAGCATCAGATGATGACAAGGAAGACGAGCCATTCCCGTTGTTATGATCACAATCCACGGCCTCTACTTCCAGCTCCTCTTCCTTGATTTTCAGAACCACCTCGCTTTTATCCTTATCCAAGCCCTTGATCAAATGTGAACACAAGCAACAAGAACCGACACCACAGCCACCACTTCCACCATCTGCCCGAACATTTCTGCCGCAATTGTAGCGAGAATTAACAAGCGGTGGCGGTTGCGGTGGCGTGTGTGATTCTTTGATTGTAACCGATTCAAGGGATTTCTCCTCCTTGTTTTCGAGTTGAGTGTGAACCTTATTCGGTTCTTGAACGGGTTTCAGTAAATAATACTCTGTAGATGAGAAAAGCGGCGAAGAAGACGATTCACCTCTACCGCCGTTAGCACAAATATCTTGCGCCCCCATTTCTTTTTTCCTCCTCGTAGGAAATTGATTCCGAGTTACAGTAACAATGGCGGTCACCGTAAGTATGAGAGAAGAGGACTGTGTCCCCGGGGAGGGAGAAAATAGGGAGAGAAATGAGTGGGTGAATTAGTGTCTTTATCAAAATAAGGCAAAGGAGAGGAATCGCCACGTTTCTCTTCTGTTGAAACTTTTGACATGCCTCGAGTCCCACCTCATCCAAGTCCCTTATTTCCTTCAAATTCCCTTCTGACCCCAAATATTTGTCTGTATTGTCAAGAACTGACCTTTCTTCAAATCATGCAAAATTGTGCGTGAATTACACAGTACACTCGATGCAAGTTTACTTTCAAGTTTTATTATTTATTTGTTTGTGATATTTAGTACTTAAGATCTGGGGGGTAGAAACGTGCCAGAGTTCATTCTTTTCCTTTTTCCTGGGTTTTTAATTGAACACGAACATAAAAATTTGGATTTAATCTTGAACCACTCGTTTTCTTCTTTTTAACTCTCTTTCTTTTTTCTTTTTCCGTCTTCTTCTTCATTTTGCCTCTTCCTCCTCTTTCTCTCTCTCTTTTTTTTTTTTTTATTATTTTTCTCTTCCTTCGATCTTTTTACATTATCATCATAGAAATAAAATTAAAACTATTATAATGAAAGACAATAATAATAGTTTTCAGTAATAAAATAAAGGAAGGAATAATTATAGCGATGATAATTCAATTTTATTATTTTTTTTTTAACTATCATATCACCAAATTATTATTAGTATTATTACTTTATTTTATATATGTATATTTCTTATTTTGATGGGACAAAATTAGAGATGATAGTTACCCTTTTTATTTAAATGTTTGGAGAAAGATAAGCAAAAGAGTGAATTATCTTAACGTAAACCTTTCATGCACAATTGAAATTAATTTGAGTTTTAATTGCCTATTTCACTCACAATTTATTCATATAAAATTAAACCCATATCAAGTTTACCGATCTCGTAGCATTTAAGACACTGGTCATCATTAGTGAGCGGATGATTAAATGCAAAGATCCATGAAAAATGATGAACATGCTTGAAGAACAAGCAGAGTTTTCATTTTTAGTCTTCCCCTCTGATTTCACCTTAGCAGTCTTCTTCCATCTTAAAATTTAAAACCCCAAAAACCCAACCCAAACTTCCCTCTCTAAAAGGCCCACTTAAATCAACTCAAATTCTAATTCTTTCAAGCCCACATACAAGCCCGTATTCCAACATTCCGATTCTTTCGGTGCCCAGCCCATCTCCACTTAACCTTCCCCTGCCTCACCCTCATATGCACCAAACGGTGCCGTTTTTTTTTATGTAATCTGCCCTTTTTGTTTCCTTCAGTCGCCGAAAAGGAGAGACCAAAGAAGAGAGAAGGTTGCAACAGAGGAAGACAGAGAAAGAAATTTTAGCGTTGATTTGGAGAGGGTTTGGCAGAGGTTTTAGCTATAGAAAGAGAGAAGTGAGAAAACCTGGGGCCTTCTTTGTGTATCGATTTGAGTGAAAACGATAACATAGGGAGATTGAGTGAAAAACCGAAGAGAAACAGGGACCGAGAAAAAAAAAAGATGAAGAGGGAGCTGATTGGTGATTTTAATTGATGGACAGTGCTATTATGTTCCATTGGTGAATGAATTAGTGCTTGGAACTGAGTTGCCGTTCTTTTCATTTATTTTAAGCTTTTAAGGTTAGTATCTCACTCCAAGAGGAGGCGAAGCCCTTAGCTGGAGTTTAACGATTCTAAGTGCTCAAAGTTCTTTGGCTGCATAATGGAGAAATCAGAAATTGGAACCACAAAATCCTCTCACGAAACTCCTTTTTTCTCTTTCCGTCCTCGCCGTCGATCACATCTCCAGAGTGAGACTTATCGTATGCTAGTGCACATTTTATCGCATTGCTATGACCATTCTCAAGTTTCTCTTAACACTCCAATTACTCTGGAAAGATTAGGTAACAACTGCATATTGTTGCATTTAGTTATCAATTTTTGACCACTGTATTTTGTTTTTTGGTTTCTTTACCTTTTTCCGCAGTTGGGCATTGGAATTAGAATTCCTTTAGCTATTATGTTTTTTTGGTTCTATTGTTTTGGAAGCAAGAATCCTTTTTTTTTTCTGGTCTAGAAAACTGGGTTTTGAGGAAATTGCGTTAATTTTAATAGAAAGAAGCCTTTTTCTCGGTGGCTACAAGGTTTTCATCGGTAAAAGTTGCTTTCTTGGTGGATAGGAAATTTGGAAATTCTTCTACTGCTTCACAAAGGTAAAAAAACTTATTCTGATTATTGATTTAGAAAGCTAAAAAAACTACTCTTATTTTGTTCCAGAAAGCAAGATAAGTTTCGCCAAAGCTTTTATCAGGCTTCGATAGATCTTGTAGAACATATTGTAGCTACTTTTGGTTCAAAGTGTGGTTTTTTCCCACATAATATAATCAGGAATGTAGTAAGAATCGAATTAGTTTGGAATGAGAATAGTATTTTAATTTCTTGTTTGGTTCACCAGTATAGTTTTGATTATCACTTAATTTGGTTTTCTGGAGTTAAAAAATGCTATGGAGACTGAAATATCCCTACAAAAGTAATAATTATTTTGCTTTTTAGTATATATGTATTTATGCATATGCCAAATATGTGAACATATGTTCGTATACATGTTTCTATTTGTCTGATATTCAGATACTAGTTTGTATATTCTTCAAATGTTTATATATTTGTTTTCGTGTTAAGAACAAAATTTTGAAAAGCAAATAAAAGGGTAAGATGTTGACAACATGATAATGCTACCGATATTTATTCTAAAATTATGACATACTCAGTTCAAGCTTGGTGGATTCTAAATCCTACTTGTCTATGTAGAAATCATAAATACACGTCTAAGACATTCAATGTAATAGTACATTTTTTTCATACAGAACATTAGAATCAGGATCTACTGATTCAATGTAATACCGTGCATCTCAGAAATGTTAGTAATTCAATGTTAAAGGAATATGGATCAAATTGAAGTAAATGTGGTTGGAAAGAATTAAAAATCTGCTTTTATAATCCTGAAACAGTCTTTTTAACGAAAATAGGTGTCTTTGTTCGTGGGGAAGATGAAAAAGTGAGGGAAAAGATTTGCAAGGATAGAAGCTTGGGAAAATCATAGGTGTGGTTGGTGTAAAGGATTGCAATTGGTGAGAAAAAAGATAAAAAAGCATAGTTATTGTCTTTCCGATTTTATGTTTTAGTACATTTTCACCAAATTTGAGAGGATTGGGTCTGCTTATATAAGGAATTTTAAGTTTTCCTTGCTTTCAATTTCACTTCTACCAAATAAGGGGAATGCTTTCCACTGTTATTTCCTCTTTCTTTTCCACTCTTATTTTTTCTAATATTTTATTTCTAATTACCATAATTGTTGTTGAGTTCCACCGTCTTCCTTGCTGTTTACCTTTATTTTTCTTGAAGGTAATGACAAGAATGGGATGGAACAAGTAACTAAAAAAAAAAAGGATAAACATGGTAAGTCTATGGGTCCTGTTACGACTGGAAATGAGAGTTCACTACATCAACCAACATTAATTGGCAAGGATTCTGGAGCTACAAGTTTTGGAGGCAGAAGGTTTTGTGAGACTCGAGCAGTGATAAGTGAGATAGATCATGTAATGCAGACAGAAGAAATTGAGGATATATTAAAGCAAAATGACCTTATGACAGATGATGATTTTGATGCAAATCATTCTCAAGATGGGGGATTTGGTCGGCAGCAAATGATAATGGATGAATTAGAGCTTATCATGAAAGGAAATGAAAATCATGTTCCAGATGATAATATTAATCTCTCAGTTACATCATTGGATGAAAACCAGAGCGTCAATTTTGTGGCTGCATCAGTGAATGACCAAGAGCAACAGCATGACCTCCAAAGAATTGCTACAGAGGAGCCTCAGAGTGCAGCCAAGCTGCAAGAAGATAAAGAAGAGTGTATGCAACAGATTTCTAGAGCATCTGATATGTCTCTAGACAAACCTTTATACAGTGAAGTTTCAAAACTAAGTGAGAATATTGATGACAAAATTTCCTTTTCAAAGACCAGTTCATTTGAAAGAAATCAGGAAATGCAGAAGAAAGAAATGGAATGGGAGAAACAAGCTAGTTGCAGTGGCGTAAGTCCTATATCTAACTGCATAATTAAAGATGTAGACATTGAAGAGGGAGAGATTTCTGGCGACTTCTGGAACGATGATGAATCATTTAATATGTCTCTTGGAGATGTTGTACACTCAGAGGGGAAAGTAGGGGAGAAGCAAGTTCTTGACCATGTAATTGATAAAAGAGATTCTCAGCACATTTTTTTCACTGCAGATACCAATCGTGGTAGAGAAGTGCAACTTGAAGGACATGTGACAAATAGGACATTATCTAATACTGGATTGGTTGTTCATCGAACTTCTACTGCAGCTGTTGGGGCTGGCACAGGCAAATGCATGTATACAGCTGGAGAAAACAAACAGGAAGGTATTGGAACAGAGGGCATTAGCTATCAGCTGGCTTATCCTGATAACCTAGTACCACCAAGAGAAATGGCGGAAAAATATGCTGAGGAATATCAAGGAATCTCATCTGAAAGGAAGGTAGTTTTTCACTTATTCAATTCTTCTTTGATCTGTGTGTGTGTGTGTTAGTGGCAAACATACACGGCAATGTTTCGTTTCTATTCATGGTCATATTTTGTTTATGAAATAAATTCATGGTCATATTGTTATTGGCATAATGCTGTTATTCTGTTCGTTTGGTTCATTATGTCACCTACTATTTCTCCCCATAGTCAGGATAAGGGAGGACGTGCAGGCTCCCTGCTCCATCTTAGGGTCCTTTGCTTCATCTTCCTGTGCGTGGGAGGCAACTGCAAAAAGGAGACCATCATCGGCACCTGTTTCATTTTTAGAAGTGATCCTATAAAAACTTTTGGTCATGGTCTTGGGAATCTGCCAAACAAACCTTGTATTTGATACAGTTTCTGTTAAAATTGGTGCTTTGGACCTCTATTGAGTTTGTACAAATACTTTGCACTTTGATGATGATGCATAATGGAATAAGTTAAGATTTTTTAATAGATTAGAATTATAGTTTTTTAAATGTGAAATTATTGTACTATTTAGGAGTTTATTATTATAATTTTAGAAACTCTAAGATTTTACTTTCCAAATATTTAATTTTTCTAATCATATTAGTCTTACTATTTCATAGTTTAATCTTATTTATGAATCATATAAATATGTTAAAATTTGACTTTTGAGAGGAGCCCAATTATTTGAAATATACTTCGAGAAATTTTTTTAATTTTCTGGTTGTACGATGCAATAAAACTTTGTAAGTGTTACGTTTAAGAATTTTTAGGTATCATATCTAAGAACGCTAGCTATATTATCTAGATTTTATTACAAAATCCCTAAGTAGATAAATCAATTCTAATTTGTCCTACATAAGTTGGTAGTAGAGCTAAAAACTTTTATAGTCATCTGAAAGAAAAAAACAAAAGAAAATACAAACCCTAAAAGCCATTACTTCCACAGTAGAAGAACACCCACAATTAGTGGGTAACGATTGACACAACCACTGCTAGAGGATCCAAACTCTAACATACATACCCAGCTCCTTGCTGCTAAATATCGTGGGAATTTGTGTCGCTTGTGCCACAAGTTCTCATGGCAGTGCACCACTAGATCCACATCTTCTTGGCAATGACACATTGCGAGGAGCCTTAATATGTGAGCACCTGTTCAAGTTGAGTCTATCACCAGAAGCCTGAGGCAACGCGACCACGTGACCCACAAGTCAGCCTCTCATAGTTTGTGGTTGTTTTGACTTATAAGTGGAGTTTGTGTTCGACCATATTCGTTCAAAATTTATTTAGACTTGTTCAACATTGGTTCATTGTGTTCTAGTTAATTTTGATGTGCTCTATATTTTTCCAACCAGTTCCATCAAATTTGGGCTCTACTATATGAACAAAATTTTTAGCTATTTGTAAACCGAGGAAAAGAATGAATCATCATTTATAGATGGTAGATCCATCGTCTTCTCGACCGTAGCTATGCACAACTAAGAAATTAAGGTGGAGGAAGATTGGGAACATTCTCCAATTTTTCAAACCCTTGCTCATTGTGAAAATCAAAGTAAGAGGCTTGTCATTTACGAGGATTATTGCTAGAAACTTGTTTCAATCTCTATAGTTGAATGACTTAATCTTTCAATGCGGCCACACATGCAGCCATGTCTTTATTGAATTTCTACAGATGGGATTGGATGGATAACTTGGGTATTTGATAACTCAAAAATGTCTTGTTTCTATCTTTCTAACTTGGGATTGGACGGATAACTTCGGTATTTGACTTTATGGCTGAATGTTCAGTATGACAAGACTACCAATACTTTTCATCTTCTTGTTAGTTACCTTAACTTTATGATCGATTTTAATTTTATGGTTGGCCTACTTCCTCTCCTCTTGAAACTGCCAAAAAAATTGTTCATTACCAAATAAAAGGGTTTGTGATCTTTTGCCTTTATATCTGTTAAAGGTACAAGACTTGAGCTATATCTTTGCTTTGCTCTCCTCCCCTTCTCTCTCTTTGCTCCTCTTATTTGTCAAAGTACTTTTTTCTTATTTTTTTCTTATTTTTTTGTCAGAGAGATCTGTAAGTCTGAAAGTTTAGAGGTTTGGAATGATTTGACAAATCTAATTCCTTGGTGGTTTTGTTGTTGGTTATCTGCAGTTGGATGCTGTAGTCTGTAACAAGAAAAAGCGAGCTCCTCCTTCTGAAGCAAGAAAAGAAAAGAAAAAGGTTATACTATATCCTGTTTTGTTTTTGAAGATGTTTGAATGGATTGAACGCATTCCCCTCTTGTTTCTGTAGAAAATAATTTGCTAATTGGCTATGAATTCTGCATCAAATGTTTTTCTTTTTTTTGAAAGTTTTCCATATTCAACCAAACACTATTTCATGTTTTGTTTTATCACTACATATGTGCCATATATTCTATGTGCTTCTGGAGTATACATCTGATCTACCGTTCTAATCTATTTTGCAGGAAAAAAAAAGAAAGCAACGAGCCAAAAAGAATAGAGAGCTTGGTGTTAAAAGGCTGAAACTCCACCCAGTTGTGAAACCAAAAACAATTACTTATTGCCAACATTATCTCAAGGGAAGATGTTATGAGGTTGTGTAGCGTCCTGCATTTCTTTCTTCTTGTGGGATCTTGTTTAATAGGGTCAAAGCTTCATGTTATTGTGTCTTTAGGTATAGGCAGATCTGATTAGTTGCTTTTTAATTGGGTCTTATGTGGAAATAATTTTCTTAGTTGAGGGATACAAAAGAAAAAGGTGGACTAGGGATTAAGAGTTCAGGCTGGTATTGGCTATGGGAAATGAACCATATCACCGGAGCTCTCTCTCCCATATGAGAAGAGAAAAGCCTCCAATGAGCTTCACAGATTTATTTGTGGCATTGATTTTGTACCTCCATAAGAGCACTGATGGAGGCTAAACTTTTGCATCCTTATGGTATACGAAAAGATTATTAAATAGAAAGGGGAAAGTGGGAGGGGGTGGTTCCTGCTTTGTTATCCTTTATATATTAAGTGTTCGTTTGGTTCTTTGTTTAGTTTCTTTTAGATTTTCGTTCACTTACTCATCTACTTACTATTACCGGTGTTCTTTCTCCAGGGTGAAAAGTGCAAATTTTCACATGATACAATACCTTTGACAAAATCGAAGGTATGATAATTGGACTTGGTATTTGCTACTTGGCACATGTTGCATTTCTATCGATATGTATTTTTTTCAAGTGAATCTCTAGTAATGAGATATGGTCATCTTATTACTATTAGTAGAAGAAATGACTTCATAGCACCATGTTAGGCTCTCTCTACCCCCCCCTCTCTCTCTCTCTCTCTCTCTATATCCCCCACTTTTACTCAATTCATGAAAGCTTTTCTTATCCCTTTTGTGTGGGGGGGGG